AAAGGCACCTTTTAGTCACTACTGGTACAACCTTAAACCTGTCAAATAATACTGCTTCATTTTTGACAGGTGCTCTGGAAGTTCTCATAGAAATGAAAAAACAAGGTATACCTTTTAACAGAGAAACCTATCTACTAGCATTTGCAATATGCTACAAACTGGTAAATATTTTCATATTGCCACATAAATGATTGAAATGCCTTCTCTCTCTTTCTCTTAATTTCCATAGATTTTTCTGTTATGGCTTATCTAATGTAAATTTTAGGCATTATTTAAGTCATATATAGTGAAGGTATATAACTTTCTGTATAGCTAATGTCACAAAGCAAACATCTACAAACATCTAAAGTATTAGATATAATCACTAAGACAAATTTGATATGATAGTTGGTTAAATGATAAACATTCTTTCTCTGGGACCCCTGCATATTTTTGCATTCTCTGCTTGAGCTGCAAATGTGTTTATCTTGCCTGGCTGGTTTAAACAAGGCATACATGATATGTTCTTTTCACCATGATATGTTCACTTTTTCTTATGACTCTTATTTTTCATCTCTCTCCAAGTAACTCTTGAACTGTTTCTGCAAGTGCACCCAAATTTCACAAGTAGCTCAAAGCTGTTCAAATGAGTGTTGAGAAGAAACGTAAACGAATGCCTTCAGTAAGAGATAGGCTGACCTTAGAACTCGTCTGTGTTATTAGATCAGACAGTGACGCAACAGAGTAAGAAACGAGGCTATGCAGGTTCTACAGCTGTTTTCCTAGAACACTTTTCTTTGTAGCAAAATGAGATCCGCAAACTCTTTCTCTCGTTCTTCAAATTTGAATCAGTAGAATGTTGCAGGTAGTTAGGTCTGGCGGCCAGAAGATATCGTGCTGTACAGAAAGATAGGGCCCCTAATAGCCAATAGTGTTTAGTCTATGGTGTAAGCAGACGGATGTGACGTTGTAAACCTAACTATATAACACCTTGTTACCCATCAATAAACGCCATTTGCCGTCCACCACATTGGTGTCAACTAGCTGATGGCCCGAGTGGCTTGGGGGTGGTCGCCGTGCTGTCCCTGAACCAGGTTGCTGCGCCGTTTGAACTGCAACAGTAGAAAAATGTTTTTTCTTTAAAGATGAAAGTTGCTAGCTGAGGGGAAAAATATATCACTGATAAAACTTATCAAATTGACACTGATGCTGCATATGGGCCTGAAATGGTAGCCCACCCATAATTTTATGGTACTTTTGAAATCCTCTGCTCTAATGAATTGAGGCAGCCTTTAGGAGATTGGGGAAATAGGGATAGCCATGTGGCTGTGGTTTTTGGAGCGTGGGACAGTAGATGGAGAATGCTTAAGACCAGCAGCTATGGAAACTGCTATTAGGAACAGCTGGGGATCAATGGTTACAATCAGCCCATGAATGTTGCCAGCTCTGCTTAGGAGGTTCCTTCAGCAAGAAACTATGAGTGTACAAAGACTTCGATGTCGTCGTGAAAGCAGTTTAGAAGCTGGTGTCTGCTGCTGTGTGTCAGCTTAAGCCAAGTTTGGCACTTTTGAGTGCCTTGATCCACCCTATGTGCCCCTTCAGTTCAAGGCTTTCACAGAACCCAGCTGTGCTCCTCTGAGGTGTACTTTCTCCATCTGCAGTAGCATTTCTTCATATCTCTAAAGTCCTTAGTTCTTTCCATGGCCTGCTGTTTGAGAGCATCCATGGCATATGCAAAAGGAAGGTATTCTTGAGACATTTGTCTGCTGCTTCTGGTCTTGTGTGTTTTCAACAGAGAATCTGATCCATCATTATTTCAGTGAGTTGTTAAGAATAGAGAGGAAAAGATTTTTAAAAACCCATCCAGTTATTCTAACAGCCACAGTAAATTTGTTTTACGCTATCAATAAAGGAATAATTTGCAAAGGGTAGCCTTTGTACAGTAAAGAGGATTAGAAGGAGGTCTTTTGAAAACCTAATCTGTTCATTCTGCTCTTAGTGGTAAATGCTAAAACCTCAAGCTAGGAGGGGATACCCCTGAGCTCAATGTTTTTGCTAATGATTCCATATAAGCAGCTCAGGAAAATAGCTTCAACATTCACTACCTGGGTACAGGAAAATAATGGAGCTGGCATTAACAGCAGTGCAGAGTTTGTAGCCACTTAATTCTTGATTCCTTTTGAATGACTCTGTTAAGGACCACCTCTGAAAAATGTACAGGGCTTAAAGCTGGGATTATTCCTGGTGGATAGAGGAATTGATCTTTGTACAGGACTGCTTTTGAGGTCAGCTATTGTGATGTTTTAAATCATTGTAAGGCACTTCTTTCCTCTAAGGTAAACAGATGGTCCTTTAGTGCAGGAAATGCCAGCATGCCATTTGGTGGCAACAAAATGCATATGTTATACGTGTGTGCATTGATTGGTTAGTAATGGATTGATCCCTTGGTGGTCAGAGCATTTCTAAGTTTTCAGACCATTCTGCAGTGAACTAGAAAAGTATCCCCTAAGTACCCTACAAAACACCCTGTTGCTAAAGACAAGGCTTGTGTGTTGCAGGAGTGACACTTTGAGCAGTAACAACAGAGATTGCCACCAAATAATAGAAAGTAACATGGTTATTCTCCAGAACAATGTCACCAGTTATTTCAGAAACTTTGCTGCTGACAGTTCTTAAGTTTGGCCAGTATTAGCTTGCTTGGGGTCTAGACAGCTCTGCTTGTTTCCAGTATGAAAAGCCTTGTTCTTATAAATTGGTTTGTAAGGTAGTGTGTGAGAACTCACTGGATTTTACTGCGGAGTCCTATTGAAAATAATGACGTTATGTCCTTCAGAACAACAGTTTGTAGTTTTAGGCCTATAATGCTAAGTGTGCATGTAAATCCTAACTTTTGGAATACTTGTTTGGAAATTTTTTTCTTCTACTTTCTGCCCTGCTAATAAACCAGTTAATGTAAATACTAGAATAAAGGAAAGAGAAGTCAGCTTTCCTCCTGACTTGGGAAACAAAAATCTGTTGCTCTTAGTAGACTGCTGAGGCTTTTTATCTCCTTTAGCAGCTGAAACAGGGCCAGGCATAGTTACTACATTAAAATAATGGAAGCTATCTTTATCCTCTTCTGAACTCTGTAGCTCTGAATATTCTCTTTGGGTGTTGTATTTCTTAAGAAGTGCTGGCTGAGTTCAGGTGTAGAAGTAATTGCATTGCTCATCTTGCAGTGCATTGGCTTCTGATGCAGTGAACTTAGGCTTCTATAGTTGCCTGCAGCCTTTTTGGATTGCAGGATTAATAACTGCCTCTTGGATTGAAACTTCTACACAGAACAGCCTGGAGTCTTCCAAAATCTCTGCAAAGCTGCTTGAAGAAGCACAGTTAAGAGGTGACACATTACCAGTGAGAGCATTCTACTTTGCTGTGGCCTTTGCTCTGAAACAGGTACAGTGCTTTTTGTTGTGGCTTATTTCTTTATCTCTATGCATGGTGTGCAATATGTTAGTAAGTCAAGGCAAACAGATTGTTGTGCATGCATTGTCTATTCAATATCTTCAAGTGCTATAATTATGTCCATGAAAGTAGTATTGTACGTAACTCCTACATAAATTGAATACGGAAATTCTGAAATCTAATTATGTTTTGAGTCTAATGCACAGGCACATTGTGTTGCCAGCAGTGTCATGTGGCAGATTCTTCTAAAATGGAAGAGAGGCAACAGGTTTAGAGGTACCCATGGATCCAGTCTGGCAGGACGCTGCTGTGTTTAGTGGTGGCTTCATTTATATGCCATAAAAATAATAATTTAAAGTGTTTGTGTAGTTGACTCAATCTTTATCTAGGTAGGAGTATTTGAAGGCTGTAATATGCATTGCCATGCTGCTTGAGATGATGTATCCTTCTCCACAACATGTAGCTTCAGGGTAAGGTTTTCTGTGTAACTCGTGCTTAAAACATGCTGTGAAAAATGGTCCAAGGCAGTAGAGGGTGAAAGATTGGCTGGGGAACAGCAGTTAAGGAATCCTAATGTTTTCTTTCTTATTAGCTTATATGTCTTGGTGAGAATTTCAAACCCTCTCTGCTTTTTTTCTAGAAGTTGTCTTTGTGGGCACTGTCAGACCTAGTGATCTGATGTTATTCACAGATGTAAATTCATGAAGTGGTGGTGTTATAAATTTTATTGCTAATTCCATGGTCTCTTTGTGTTGTCTCTGGGTTTAAAGGTTTAGACTGTTTTGTGATTCACAGACAACTAAGAACTCATCTTTCTTGAGCATATTGTGAAAGTGTCGCACATGTATAACTGTATGTTTTATTTCTTATTCCTTCCTAGAATGATGTGACACAAGCCCAATTCTATTATTCTCAGATAATGAAAACAGAAAACAAATTATTCAACAATATTAGTGTAAGTATGCTTGCTTTGTATAAGTTGTACAGGGAAATGTACTGTGCTGGACAAAAGTCAAGTGCAAAGTAGCAGAAGGCTGGGTTCTTAGCAGCAAACACTTATTTGAGTAATGTTGCTGAGCTCACTTTTGTCTGCCAACCGACAAAAGTTGGTTGAGTTGCACTAGGAGTTGAAAGAAAATCTTTTTTGCTCCCCACTCCTCACCCCAAAGTTGCATTCTTAGTATAGCTGGGAAGTAGGCTGGTCCTACATAATGAGTATAGGCCTGGGAAAATTTTTAATTATGACATGATGACTTTTTTCCTCCTCTCTTGCTGAAAGAGATTTAAAAAAAAAAAACCACAGCTCCCAGTAAATGTCTTGCTTGGTTCTGCTCTCTTCAGGCCTGCTTCACACTTTGAAGTATGTATGTGCTTAACTATGAATGCACATAAATTATTTCTTTAGTTGCATGGTCTACAACCTGATTAAAAAGTCTATGTGTCCTGAAAGTGATCTCTATAAACTACAGAAGGAAAGGAAGGGTGAGGGGGAGAAAAAACTATTTCAGGGCAGTTAATACAGCTCCAGTGGTCTGCCTCCAGGCTGGCACTTTCTTTCCAGGTCCCAGCTGTAAAAAAGAAATGATTTTACAAGTGGCAATCAGTCATTCCCTTTACCTTCATTAATGGATTAATGGTTTATCAACACAGCATCTAGAAATGTTTTTGTTCCTGATTTGTTTCATAATGTCTTCCTCTAATACTTAAAAACAAACACAAAAAGCCTTTCTAATAAGTATTATTCACATGGTGTGGATTTTATTTTATTCTTCAGGTTCTTGTCAAGCTCAAATCTGGTTCATTAGAAGAAGTAATAAAGACATTAGAGGCAGCAGTGGAAATAGATACTCCCCCCTTTGTGAAAAAAATTGAGTTTTCTGAGCAGGTGGTGAGTGTACAATAATGAACTGAACTGGATAGAAAACAGTGTCCCTGATGCACACAGATCAGGGATACAGGCTGATCACTTACAGAACTTAGTGCCCAAGTTTGTTAAACTGTGTTGCAATAGATGTTGTATGTATCTGTGTTGTATGTTGATTTGTTTGACAATTTTTTAACATTAAAAGAACTAACATTACTCTTAACCCATTCCTTTTATAATAGGTTGTAAAAAAAACAGTGTTTACACAGTCATACATGAATTCATGCTCCTGTATATAAGGCATATTTACTGAAATTTTGGAGTAAGATTTCCTTTCATCAGAACTGCAAATTTAGTATGTTAGATGATATGATAGAAATAATTATGCTGACCTGGAGAAGAGCTTCCAGGAAGTAATTAAGTTGTTTGTATTTAAATGGAAGATAATTGTGTTGGTCTGTGCTAGGATTGAAAACAGGACTGTGCTACTTCAGGGAAGTCTTTAACCTAATAAACTCTTTCTAATTTGTATCCACTGCACGTGTGAAATCACCTAATGTTGTGTAATGTGTGCTGCTTAAAAACTCCTTCTTACATACCTTACATCAGTGTTTTATCTTATTTTGTCTGGCTTCTCCTCCTCATGCTCTTTTTTTGTGAGTGAATGCTTGTCTAGAGTGTAGTGCCTTTGCTTTGCTGACATGTAACAGTATGTCATTTGCCCTTCCCTAGCTGACTACAGTCAGGGAAAAGATGGAAGAAAACCCTGTCCTTTCTGCCAGATTAGGAGATATTTATATGAGACTGCAATCTTCAGGACGGATAACTGCTTGCACGCTGGATGACATGCTTTTCCAGGTTCCTCATTCAAAGAAGAATCGTGCAAAGCTTTTAAATCAAAAGCAACTGGGTTATCGAACTGCTAAACCACTTCACTCAGTTCTGTTGTTGGAGTAGTTCAATATTTGACAATAAACTGAACTCTAATTATCAGCACTTAGAAGCATGTTCGGATAAAACATCTTCTCCCTTTCTTGACTCTGAGCAATTGCTTAAAACAGTTTCATACAAGCAGCTTAAATGTGTATCATATGGCTTCCATGTTTAAATTTTCATGCCAAAAATAAGTCATGAAGGCAGGCATTTCTTTTTGTTTCAAAATGGAATGATCAAAATGTCTTGAATTCTTCCTCAAGTGCTTAACACATTCAGAATAATAAAATCCTGATTTAGGTGAAGTAAAATGGTGTATGTATCTGACCTGACTTTTGTGGTTCATAAGAAGAAAACCTGGTGCCCATCAGATGTGAGGTTCTAGCTGTACCATTGATACAGCCCAGACCCTAGACAAAGGAATATCCAAGAGCATTAACTGCTTGTTCAAATTTTGTACTTATTAAAAGATGAAAGACATCATTAGACATCTCCTTTGTGAAGACACTATGAAAATTACAGAGGTGTAGCTGACAGTTTTCTCACTGGAAGGAGATTTGTGAATAAAATTCCTCTCAGTGAGCAGCACTACATGTTACTACTTGCAGATTGTATCTTTGGTGAGAAGACTCCCAAGACAAATGCTTATTACAAATTTGAAATTATGTCTGGTCTTAGCAAGTATGATTCAAGCTTTGAATGAGTTATGCAGGAAAGATGCAATTCTAGCCTAAAGCGTGGTCATGAAAACAACGTAAAGAAGCTTCGACTTCAATGATTCTAGATCAAATGTGCTTGTTTATATTATTTATATTATATTATTGTTTTGTAACTGTTAGTCCTGCATATTCAAAGATCTTTTTTCTTTCACCATCCAGAGTAGAAAGAATTCACTGTAGCAATACCCTGGCTGGTACCTGATGGTTTGGGCATATTTGTGCATATGCCTGCTGATTTAATGCTTAGTAAGTGGTCCTGTGAGCAGTAGTCCACCCAGCTTTGTGCTCTTCAGGTTGTTTCTCCTTAACTTTCCTGAGGGATTCAGGATATCTTTACAATTAAAAGTAAAACGAATCAAGCAACTCTCAGAATTCTAATTTCTTTCTGTATGTGCTATATGAAAGCTTTTTCAAGTCAGCAAATCATGGAAGGAGCAAGAGGACTTCTGTGTAAGAATGTATCTTAAGCCACTAAAGCAAATCAAAGTAAAATAATACTGGTTTCACTATGGAGCTCTGCTACTGCAACTCATTTGTCACCATTACATTTTGTTGACTAATACTAAAATGAACACAAATACTAAGTAGTGGGTGGAATTGTGTGTTACAGAAATTATATATCAAATTGCTTGAAATTTACATCCTGTTTTGGAGAAATGCATGTACTTTTTATGACCGTACAGGATTGGTTAAAGTGCTAGACTTGCAACTGTTTGTTTTTGGAATTCTGGTTCTGGAACATCTTGTGTAACTTTTCATTTTTATAGGTTATTCAAGAGTTTAGGCTTAATAATTCCCTTTGACCTCAGTTGGAAGCCCTTTCAATACTTCCATCACAAAACCCTTAAGTACCTCTTGATTTTTATCCATAAGTTTTTTGGTATATGATTTGTGAAGGCTGCTCTCTGTGGCAAGAATTAATTAAGCAAAATGAAAGGAATGAACTACTCTGAGTTTTTGCAGGTGGTTGCATCTCTCAGGAAAACTGTCAAACTATCTCTTACTGTGTGTGAAAATGTGCTTTTATATTAGGCTTAATCTGTTACACTGCAAACAGATCAGATTAATACTACTTAATTAGTGTTTTCATGCATGTATTAATGAAACCAGCAAGAAAGCAGGTTCATCCTAAGAACCAAGATTACTTGTTACTTGCCTATTTCTCCAGTTTGGTTGGGTCCTACTTTTAGGCTGGATTCTGGCTGAAGCTCAAGTAATGATTATAGTGTAATTCAAGTGTAACTGACTCTTGGGAGTCAACCCTTTGATCTTAAAACAAGCACTAGCTTTGCTTGAGACTGACTGTGGCTAACTATTATGTTGGTGATTTGTTTCAATGTGAAACTCCATTTGCCACTCTTGGAAGAGGAGCGGAATGCTGTATCTATTATGAGCCTATAGAAAGCACTATGTTTTAAAATGCTCATGGGAGAAAGATTGGGTTCAGCAGGGATGGTACATCAGGGTCCTGCACTGCTCTGTCCTTCCAAAGCAAACGGCAACTGACTGACAGGGCAGAGATCTAATACAGGGCTAGTGCTCCTCCCTCTCCTCCAAATCAAGGGGCTCTGCCGTGAAAGATCTGAAAAACCTTGATGTTTAAGTAGCTAATAACCCTTTACTGGAAAATGAAAGCATGCTCCCCCAAGGAAGCACAGATTGATACAACTCGGACTATTGGAGGTGGCTTGGGAGAACTTGTGGAAGACTGGTAGTACTCTCACTTAGGTAAAGAAGTAAGGGTAAAAAGCAGCCCTTAAGATCTATGCAGTTGGTTTCAAACCAAGACTGGTCTGTCCCTTCCAGGTTGCCCAGCTGCCTGGATGTGATCCAGAAAGCCTGGATGTGTAGATGTGCATGCACATGTGTGTGTGCATGTTATCCAGTTAGCTTTTTGTTTGTCAAGATGCTGAGCCCTCTGGCTCTTGTTCAGAAGCATCTCTAATCATGTGCCTTAATGTTGGGGTTTTTAAGTGTGGTTGGCTTCTGGTTTCATGGGAACAAGCTCAGGAAGCCAAACTTGTTAAAAGTTATGCAAATGCTTAAATGTTTTGCTGGGTCAGAATGCTTGGTATTTCTCCAGAGCACACTTAGGTGACAGCCTTGGAGAGGAGAAATATGCAGTATAATATTGCTGCTGGTGAAATAATTATACTTGATTTATTTGGAATTTTAATTAGGCATGAGCCGTGAAATTAGAGAGGAGACAGCGCTGTGGAATTCGGTTAATAATAGATGGATTTGGTTAGCATGCTGAAAAAGTAAGGCATATATATTTCAAAGCAAAGTTTTTTTTTTTTCCTCTAGGTTTCAATGCAAGAGACTTTTCTAGCAAATTTTGTTTATAGATCTGTGTAGCAAGTAGCTGAGGTGGTGGCCTGGATGCCCTTTTGGACACTTAATGTGTTGAAGGGTTGACTTTTGTTTATCACATTGGAATACTCCTCCTTCAGTAAAGTAAATGGGTTTTGCCTGTGTTTATGCCCTCTGGAAGCTTTAGAAGTGTCATTGGGAGGCAGCAGATGGCGATCTTGGTCACGCTTTCCTACCAGCATGGATTTCGGGGATAGCACTTAGCTGCAGGTTCAGTTATGTAAAAGCAAGGAAATGTTTCACTGTATTTTCGCTACAAGGCACTTTGACAGGTATGGAACAAAGAATCTGAGTCTTAGTCAGGAGTCTCAAATGGTTGGTAACTGGCATAGACTGCAAACCCAGGGGTTTACCAGGTTTAATTTAAAGATTTAATGCATTTGTTGATTAAAAATAATCCTTTTCAGTCATCACAATGTAGTTCTTGTAGCAGTGTATGGAAATATGAATCTGTGACTAAGGAGAAAGGTGGCTGCTGCTGGTACTTCTAGTATATTGTTCACAGTTTAAAAGGCATACTTTGATAAACCTACTGTATATTCAAAAGAAAGGTGAGATACCTCTTCCAAACAACGGGAAAAGTATTCATTTTTGCATTCAGGTTGCTCGATTATGCAGCAAAATATTCAAAATATTTTATTTTCCTGCTGTAGGTGCATCTGCTTTTCTCTGTGGATTAATACCTTTTTGTTTCCTTTAACAGCTTCTTGTTTTGGTAGCTAAGGATTGCTTCTTCCATGTATCTTCAAACCTCATTTTCTGTTTCAAGCAATAACAATGAAGGTGAAAGGTTTAGTCATTAGAGGGAAACTCAGGATTGCTTCCAGGCCTCCAGAGGAGTTTTGACTTATTTAAGTTTGCCTAAAAGGATCATTAAAATAACGTTGAAAAAAACCTCATTAGAATGTTGTGGCACTATAGAAGGTAGGCAGATCTGTAGTATAGGTCTGGTCTACAGCCATTCAAGTTTTTTTCAAGGTTTTTTAAGGCTTCATCTTTGCACCATCTTTTTTAATTTTAAATTTATTTATTTTTAAGCTTAAGCTGTGACTGTAGCCTGTCCTTTTGTGGCCGGGTATGCCTTAGCAAGGTCATTATAAATCATTTAAAGTAGATACTTAGCATATCCTACTCTTCCTACCCTTTTACTGTTCTTCTCCAGGCTAATTTGAAGAATAAATCACCTTGCTTCCTTGTATTTGCATTACTTGCTTGTATTTGATTTGGGCAGCAAGAGGGAATGGGAAAGCTTAGCTTAAAACCAGTGGTGATACTGGTCGCAGACTGACGTGGAATACACTGTGCTTCTGTTTGTCTCTTCAGTAGTTGGAGGAATTGTTTGCAGAAAGCAGAATGCTTTGAGGAGCTTATGGTGTTGTTTCTTCGGTGCAGTTGTCTGGGCATCCTAATTGATTTCAGCAGTGCTTGTAGTGAAAGCTGAAATTGTCACCACCCCAAGCACAGGTGCTGGTTATTGCAACTACTGATGCTCTGAACAACAAAACTTCTCATATACAGATAGGTAAGGGCAGCTTCCAAGTCCCTCTTCCTAGATGCAACACAAAGCAAACAGTGAACCACTGATAAGAGGGTTGAGGCAGGGACAAATCAGACCTACACCAGTCTACGGATTTTCAGTCAGTCAGCTGTGCCTGCTCGTCTTGCTCGCGTGTGAAGGTATCTGGTAGTTGCAGGAAGTCTCTCCTATGGAAGATGGAGGCATCAATCTGATTACCTGACCTGGTGTCTTGGGAGGCTGTGAAGGAGCTGCCTTGTCCAGCCCTTGAACTACTACCCTGTGTTGCTCTTCTAGGTGTGCAGCAGTGATGCTGCCAGGATTAACCTGGAGCACGTTATGAATGGCTGCAGAGCACTGGAGGCGGGAGTAAAAGGTGGGGGAACCAGGTGGTGGCCCCTCACTCCCCAGACTGA